AGTAATTAACAATTAATAAATATTTGATAAATCAGTTTTGTATTAAAATAGTATTTAACTACCTATACTAAAATGTTTGCAGATAATTTTTTTAATATATATAAATATATATATATTTTGATTTATTAATATTTTAATTTATAATTGGATTTATTCTAATTAAACACTAACACATTGACAATACAATTTTAATATTAACTATTATTGTGCAATTTATTTGCATGTTTTATATATATTACATGAATGTAACTTTATTTTATGAATTGACATTTGTTTAGAAGTTTTCAATTTCTACTTTTTCACAATTCTAGTCTTAAAAACCATTTAATTACTGTACAAAATAATATTACCTAAGATTTTGTCATGGTTCGGGTTTATGATTTAACAATCATTTTATTGAATGATTTTATTAAATCAACTATTTTATATAATAAAATTAGTATTACTAATATCGGAATTAATTAGTTTATACATGGACACTATTATATGCTCGTTTTATAATTTAGTCTCTAGATCGATTATTTTAATAAAATTGTTTATTGCTATACTCTATTCAGAATAAGATACTAGAAAGCCGACTTATATGTGTCCCGAATGCCGAACCAGGTGGCTTACTTGGTTGGAGAAGCATCTGAACTCCGCCGGACAAAAACCGGTCACCGTCCGGTACTTTTCTTATTCTGAGTAGAGTATAGAAATATCCGAATATTGATTGCATTTGTATGTACAAAATATACCATGAATAAAATGTACTAAAATATTTTGTTTGTTATTTTTTTGATGTTTTATTGTTTTAATCAAAATTGCTTTTTTGTTAAAGTTCATAAAATTTTAACAATAGGTACTTAATCTATAATTGATTCATTGATACACTTCATAATAATTATTTATTTTGCTATTGGTATGAGTCTTCAATTTTGTGAACAGTATATTGTGTATTGTGTAAACTTGTAAGTTTTAAGTACCAAATTAGCTCAATTAGGATAGAGCTTACCAGTATTTGAAAGGAGTTAGATTCACTGCTAATTATAGCATACTAAAATAAAGTTATAAAAAAATTGAGTTGATTATATTTCTATTCTTTTTTATTATTAGATTATGAACCATGTGTACCTGTACAAATATGATTTAGATGTTGAAAAATTAATTAATTTGTTTAGATATCAGTTATAATGACAGATTTATTTGAATAAATATATAATTCAACTCTATACTTTTATTTTATTGAGTCTATATTTTAAGATATATGAAAATGTATGGTGTATGGGAGTAGCCCCCCTCCCCCTCACCCTTTGTTTTAAATTGTTCTTTTTATTTTTGAATCTTCAGATTTTTTTATTCTAATGTGCGATGTAAGTACCTTAAATCTAAGTTTAGTTTCTTGTAAATTAGAATTTAGAATGGTCCACTACAGTGCTATAAGTCATAATATTTTCAATATGTAATTATATTTTTACTTAAAGTCAGAGGTAAAAATGTAATCATAATAATAATTAGTGTATGGGCAATAAGTTTAAATAAGAAGATACTTCAAACAAATAATGTTGGTACAATTATTTATAACACTGCCCCAAAAGCTTAGCTTGTGGTAGGCGCAGTAAGTTCAATACCGTGTTAGTATATTATATTTATATACAATACTCTATTTATAAATTATGACATTGAAAAATGAATTATGTTTTTAAAATGATTTAAATTGAGTTTTTTTAATATCTTTTTAGTAGATACTTTTTATACAATACTAAATTAATATTTAAGCTTATTAGTTATAACTTATTACATAAACAAATACGAATACCACTAATAAACATTTTCATACCAAATTCCTTATGGGTTACTAACATATTCAGATTTACAAAGTGGTTAAGACATGTTTGATGTTTATGATATAAATAATAATCTTTTAGATCAACATTATAAATATAATAAATTAAAGAAATTCCATAGATGCAAGCCGTTGAGATTTCTTACTTTAAAAGTACCTACTGTGAAAATTTTTAAGTGAAAATCATAAGGAATAATAGTGTTGCCAGTATATGGAATACCAAATATTTTTATATTATTGAGAAAGACTTTGTTCAGTTATGTTTGTATTACTTTTTTGTTCTATTAATTCCAAATAATTGGTCATATTTCTTTATTTGTTTTCTATGTCACTATTACGGTTTTCAACATCATTAACTTTATCAATCTAGATATAGGTAGTTTAGAATCAAAATTCTTATTTTTTATGACCAACATTGTATCTATTGTTCCACTGAGTTTAAAATAGTGACCAGATTTTCAATTTTGATAAAATAGAAGCAATATCCGCTTTAACAATATTTAAGCTATTTAACCTTTTTTTCCTTATTGAAAATTTCTGTAAAGAGAATTCAGCACATTTCCAAGAATCCCTACTTGCACTAGAATTTTGAAGCTTCGTACAGTTTTAGTAAACGCAAGTTATTGCCACAAGTTCAGGAACAGTTTTATTACAATTAACGTACAACATATTATTATCGAATATAAGATTACGACAGTCGTATGATAAGATAACAACCTTCACCTTCTTTTTTCTTCCAGATATTAAAGGTCTAGATATTTAAAATAAATAACTGTTTTTTTTAAACATTTATTAAAGTTTAGATTTTAGTACTAGAAAAGAATCATCTATAGATGACTTATAGACAAATAAGTAAATAAGATTCTTTTTTCAGAATTAAAATCCAATCTTGCAATTTTGTCTAGCTTATAAGAATCATTATTTATTAATACTTTTTACAAAAAAAAACAAAATTATAAATATTTGTCTAATTTGTTACTGGCAAGTAAGTGCATGCGCAGGAGCTCTCCGTTATTTATTTTATACACAGTAATTTTACTCACAATAATTTAATAATTTACTACTCACACATTACACGATCCGTATGAACGCACATAGAAAATTGCCTATATTGAACTCATTAAAAACTGTGGGTGTCAAATCCCTTTAAGAAAATGTAAATAAAATAATTTGTTAAATATTATTTGGCCTGTATACAACAACTTATTTTTTATTTCAGTACCTTTATAGTTTTCTACATTGTTTAGTCCTCTTGGTAATCTATCAAAATCTGATAGAAAGTAATCACAGAAACACAATCATTAAGCTTATCTATAGATAATCTGACAGTTTTTAAAATCACCTCTAAAATAACTACATGCAAATAATCCGATGGTATATCTTTAATTATATTAATGGGTAAGCGATCTAATGGTCTGTACCCTTTGTGATACTCTTCATCAGACCTACTTCTAAAGATAGTATCAGTCCTAATGGACTATTTACACCCAAAAATGTCATCCTTCTATATTTAAATACTCCTTCCTCAGTGCATGTATTACTGGGTCCACACGTAAATTGTGCAGGTCTAGGACGTCTAAGTGAAAAGAGAGAAGCCATTAAAGCGACTGCAAAACCGCGATAACCAATAGAGCTACGTAGGTAATAACAGCGATTACAATTTTTGCGATAAGTTAATATATGTAATTTATTCATAGCCTTGTAAAATTAGCTTAATTAGTGATGATAATAATATGTTCTAACTTCTAAGTTTTTTTAATGTGAATGACTTTCGTATCTATGAACTAAAAAATTTCACTAATAAACATATTAGAATAACTTTCAACGGATTCTGGATTCTTTTGGCTACTATATATAACAAAGGTTACGGTGAATGATGTAAACGTGGTAAATGTCGTCATTCCCCGGTAAATGACGTAATTTACATAAAAATTGGTAAATGTTGTAAATTTAGACATTCCCCTGTTATTGGCATCAATCCCCAGCTTAATTGGAGAATGATGTTCAATACCTACTTTTATGTTGGTGTGAACGATCAGCGATAAGCGTGTAGGTGCCGAATAAGCTTCGTTAGTTAAAAATATCATGACCAAAGTACCTACCTATATAAAATACCTAGTAAATAAAATAGTATATAAAATGGAATATAAAATCCCAACTAGCAATAACGTCGATAACCCGAGTAATAATATGAGATAATCTTTTAGTTTATTAGTTAGTATCTACGCCCTACGGGCGTATTATAGAGAGTTGTATATGCGACGAGTGTGTGTTTTATAATATTATTTGTAAAATTGTGTGTCATCAGTGAACAAAATATAATAAAAATTAAATTAAATTATAGTGTTATAGTTTTCTTTAATTTTCATATTAAAGTATGGAGAACCAATTTAAAGCAGCAATTGACAAAATTGTCAGCAATAAAAAGAGAGCTGACAATATATTTTATATTTTTATTTTAGTTCTGAAGAATACAATAACAAGATTCAAAAAATAAAAGAATTAAAAATTGGAACACTATAAAAAACGGTAACGAATAATAGACTTATACGTAAATATGATTTATTTATTTATTTATTCATTTATTTATTTATTTATATATATATATATATATATATATATATATATAATATATATATATATACGCCGATCGGCAATTTTATGATTACATTTAAAATTAATATATTAATATGTAATAAATGTTTATAACACACAGTTACACCAAACATAATATAGAAAATAAAACTCAATATAAACATGATATAGTAACATAGTGTATAGTACAGCAAATGTATAACTAATACATTTTTAAAAATCAAAATTAGAATTATTTAGCTTTTTTATTTATGTGGACAGGGCCGAAAGGCTATGATTTGTAAATTATAACAGAATATGTATGATTGATATTTAATCCAATAATCCGTAATGCAAATAAGAGATAAATTAATACTTATTTATGTAGTTTAGACTTTAGCTAATATATATTGTATATTGCTGCAATTATACATTACTTAAATTAAACAATATGTAATAAATATTCAAAATATTGAATATCAATTGCACTATCAATATTTCTGTTGGAAGTTGAACATAGTTTTTCTATACTATACTCACTCGTATATCCTTATATTATCCCTGTACTTGGGTCCGTCATGAAATTTAATTCAAAACATAGATGTCGAACATAAAAAAAAAAATTGGATTAAAAAATAAAAGTTTGTTTAAAGCACCCAAAGTAAGAAAACATACTATCTTAACCTTATTTATGAATAATCATTTTTTATTTAATTATTTGTTACAAATAATATTTAGAACACAGAGCTTTTAGCAAGATGGCATAGAGCTATACCTAGGAAAGACAAAATGCTCACAGAAAAGTGTTATGTGTGTGAAGTGCATTTCAAAGAGAATGATATTCTAATTTATGATGAGACTATCTTAAATGATGGAACAGTCAATAAAATTATAAGAATTAGACCCACATTAAAAGCTGGGGCAGTTCCATCTATATTTCCGAACTTACCATTTTATTTAACAGAGCATACAATTAAGAGAAAACCTCCTCTCGAAAGGTCTATAAATAGTGATAAAAAGAGATTTAAACCAAATCAGGCATTGTTGAAAATTCCCACGAAGAATTTTCATTTCAGTATTTAAAAGAAAATCTGAATCTATTAGAAAAACCAGATAATAAATGGATGTTTGGATTAACTGATGATGAAGTAGTGCTTGCAATATGGAATAGTGGATCGGAAAAAAGAATAATAATTTCAAATGATTTAATAGTAAAAGTAAGCAATTATTTGGTCAAAAGTAAAATAAAAAACTGTTCAAACCTATAATCGTATTATATATTAATTCATATTATTCCAATTCTTTATTCATTAAATGTTGACAGATTTTTTTCAATGGTACTGACATTTTTTTTGATTGCAACATTATTAATACAATTTTATTGAGTATGAATGATATACATAAGTTATTGAAATAAATACATTCTTTAATAACATGTAAAGGGATTATGACATCAGCAAATAACATTACCAGGTAAAAAAATGTGATATGTAATTATTGAAACTTTGAACTTTGATTATATATTTAGGTATACTTTAACCTGACCAGGTAATAAATAATAAATCATAATTTATATTTCATTCGAATTCAAAAAAATGAAAAAGAATGTACATTTATAGAAAAGTACGTATAATAAGTGGTAAAACGTAGCACTGCTATCGAACGACGTGCTCCTGGTGGCAGAATAACCGTGCGACTTTTGTCGGGCCATATTTTGTATACGGAGTTTGGTCTCCTTATCTCTAATCTTCATGGTTATAATTTAACAATTCCCCCCCCCCCACTGGATACGCCAATGGTGGAGGCACGACAGTGTATATTGTTATCTCAAAGCAGGAGTTGTCCATTTAAACAGTGTGAATTTTGGTGTTTTTTTTTAACCTGTCCTGACTAATTATCTACTGAAATATTAAATTTTGACAAATTGTGCAGATAACCCTAAGACAAGACCTTGGTGGTTTAGGTGGGAGAAAATTACGAAGCATTTTATTATTGACTTCTCGTATTTATTATATTATTTTGTTTCATTTCGTTATCGACTATCGCTTCATTAAATCCCCTTACATATATTTTATTTTATTTATTGTAATTTGTTAAATTGTAATTATTAATAGGGCATAAATTCACCAGCACATTTTTTGAATTTTTTTTCTTCGAAATATACGTATATCAACGAGTGATGGTGAAAAAAAATTTTCGGAAACCATTATTTCGGAAGTTATAGCCATCCAAAGTTTGCGATTATTCGTTAGGTTATCCGTCTGCCCGTAAGAAAGGTATGCTGCCCCCCCCCCCCCCCCGCTTGTTGTGATTTTACAGTAAGTTGCTGGCTGCTAACATGATGTACGAAACGACCACAGACTTCTATACTACACTATATAGATTAGGAACTCCTATAGTCTATACAATATACATTGTTACAAGTGAAGCTCAGCTGTGAACGGCAACCATTTTGTTGGTTGGCAAAACATTTAATTTATTATTTATTATACAAAATGTATTAGAAATAATATTTTTTTAATGTTCAAATAAAATAGTAAATGTAAAATGACTTTAATAAAATATTTTTTTTTTTAAACAACATTTTTAGAAATAATGAAATATGAAACAAAATAAATCATAATATCATCTTATTTGTCATATGAAATACCATACAATTGCCAACCGAGCTTCAATTCATGGCGGGAGTACTATATAGAAATCTGTGGAAACGACAGATGTTTGGCATAGACCTGATAATATTCAGGTCTGCGGCCGCAGTATAGATATTAAACATATTATTATGGATGCGGCATTGATCCAAAATCGTGAAGCTAGCATAACGGAGAGAAAAACGAAATTTCCCTATCGTACGGCGTAATAGAAACGATTTCTCTCTCCGTTATGTTGGCACCAAGTATGCACAGTGTAGATCCTTAGATAGTAAAATAATTCTTTTATTATCTATGGTGTAGATAGACCTTAGATCATATACAATGGATGGAGCTACTTTAATCATTTGCTGTGTCCAACATAACCCCCCACTTATTAGTTATTTTATAGTGATTGTTGGCGAAACGCATGCCGCTTCCATATGTTTAACATCTTTAGATATTATAATAGCGTTGATGTCAAGCATTCGTGCGACCATCTTGGATCTCGGCGTCCATCGACTGCGATACTAACTATTCGATTGTTCGATGCAGCATTCGATTATTTCGTCATTCGATAGACCGTATGGGAAGTATTATAGGTACGCAAATGTTGTATGATATTTACTTGACTGAAATCGATTGAATTGAAAGTCGGTAATCGTTAAAATATAGCCGATAGTGCCGATAGGTAAATAGACTTCATGACGGACGTCGGCCATGGAAAATGAATGACTGGTTACAGCTTACTACGTTGCGAGTTTATTTTTTTAGTGAATATACATGTGTCTTGATATGTTTCAATTTACTTCGTCTTTTGCCTTTATTCATTTTGAATCCGTTGTGACACACTGCCCTGTGTTGTTGGACTACCCATTATCAGCTAGGTAATTATTACTAATATATAATATATTTTGTTCATCCGTTGCCGTACAGTTTGTAGAGTGAAAACTATTCACTACACTACACTGTCACTACACTCGTAGATATAAATGATTCACGATATGTCGACAATATGACTTGTTTCACCCGTATTTCATTCTCAGACTTAGATTAAGGAGGGTGATTTCATTACGTCACTATTATTTTGTACGAGGTCGTTTGTTATTCATTTACTGACATAATTGTGGTACTTTTGCGCTAACCATTGTTTTTTTTTTTTGACACGTCGTGTTATGTCCATTGTATACTCGTCGAGGTTTTAAGTTGGTCTGTGAGTATACAGACTGATCCGCGTTTCACTCATTGTGTTATAGACTCGTACGCAATCGATAACGTACCTACTTGACTTGAACTGTACTTTGAAGGAAAAAAATCATTTAGTCATTATAAAGCCATTCATGAAGTTTTATTTTATTTGAAATTTTGAATTAATTAAAATATGAAAACTATGCAATGAATTGACATTTTAATATTGCAAATGCTAAAACAAAAAAAAAAAAATAAATAGCTAGTTCAAAGTTAAATTAAACGTTATAATCTGGATTGTAATTATTAATTTAAGTACTATTGTCCTAAAATGACATATTGAATTTGCCTTATTTATAATTAAATTTTCCAAATCTCTGATTTGCCACTGATTATACAAAATATAGCCTGCACCTATTGTAATTTGTTAGAGTAAATATTTGTTAGGTTAAAAAGATATTCTTACAACATAACGCTAAGCACCAAAGTTTAAAATATTTTATCGTAATAATAATAGTAAAGAGTAGATGTTAATGAAAATGTTGTATGATAATATTATTATAACCATAATTTATTTTTGAAGGGAAATATTGTTATAATATTATTAGTTATTCACATAGAGCAAAATACGGAGCTTAATTATTATACCTTGACTGTACCTTTTCAGTGATATCAATAATTTATTTTTCAAAATTAATATATGTAACTGATATTGAAATCACTATATTTTGTAATCTTGACTATTTTCATACTGCTGTACACAAAGTAAATCAAAGTATACATGTTCAATAACACATGCAATAATGGAACTTGTATAATAAACTTGTAAATAAGTAAATTGAAGAATTAACAATTTTAAGAAAATAGCTGTTAGCATGAATACTGGAAAAAAGTACTTTTAAAATCATATAAAATAACATAGGTAATTTTAAATTCATTAATTATTATTTTTATTTATGAACATTTAATATAATTGATTATTTATATTTTATAAATTTATAATGATATAGTTATATTTTATATATTACATAAAACAAACATTTTTAAAATTACATAATATACATGTATAATATTATACACTTAATCAGATTTCAGCTGTGTCCTACACTCCTACATATTATATACTATGATTAAAAATTACAGATTACAAATTTAAAAAAAATTAAAAACTACACATAAAAAATTTTATAGTAACATTTTATCAATCTATTATGTCCTATATTAGTTAAGAAGAAATCAACACTCAATTTTCCCCTAGTCAATTGTTTGCATACATTTTTTAGTAGAATTTGCTTTATAATATTATTATTATGTCCTTTAATGGTAACTTATAAGTTAATTGCCTAATTTTGCTTAATGTTGATTTACCTTTATCAGCACTCATTTCGTTTTTTCATGTTTGTCAATATTTTTCATATCGATGAATTTTTATGCCCAACCAAATGACTGAATCTATTATTCCATACCTTACACATTTTGTTGGTTCTACAACTATCCAGTAAAGTGAATTAAGTGCACATTCCACATTGGAGGAGAGAATTGAGGAGGAAGTCGACGAATCCAAATACTTAAATCGTCATCAGTTCCTATTCAACCCAAATTACCACTTACACAAACTGAATCAAAATAAATAACTAAGGTTCTGGAATAACAATAATTTTAAGATAATCCATTCCTCTTCTTTGACATGACTTAGTGGGAGAAAAGCTAAGCTATCTATCACAAAAATTTCTGAAATCATTTTCTGTACAATATTTAGTCTCAAAACCTAGTTTTTGGATGAATGGTTTGGCATAAATGACAACCCGATACTGTTATGTAATTACCAATAATATTTTTAAGAGCTTTAATAACAGATATCTTGAAATCTAAATGTACTTTGACTGGATCAGGGTAATATTTACGTTTATTACATTCGTCCAAAATTATTCGGAACATTTTTTCATAAGTCAATTGTATTTTCTTTGTAATAATGAATAAATTGCAGTTACATACTCACAATTGTAATTTATATGAATAATATTTACTATATCCTATTAAATCTGATTTTTTGAATTTTTAAATACCTATACTTTAAGATCATATTTTTAAATTCTTGAGATTTTTTGTACTACTCGAAAAGTGTAGTACCTACTTGTAGTTGTACTTTGTAGTACTTGAAAAATCCTGTGGAGATACAAACTTCTGTTTTTCAAATGAGAACACCCTTATTCAACTATAAATTATACATTAGATAATTTTTCTTAAAATTTTGACGTATCAAAA